TCGTTGAAAAGTTCATTTATTTCAGTAATTCAACTCAAATTGTGAAACTCATGTATTAAACTACTTCAGTCTGTGTGCATTGAATTTAAGTAAATGAACATACTTTCCAGAAGGCCAACAATTCACTAAAAATGTTTTTTTTTATTGGTCTTATAAAGTATTCTAATTTGTTGAGCTAGTGAATTGGTGGGTTTGAGCCAAAATCATCACAATTAAAAGAACCAAAGACTTAAATTCAATGCACACAAACTGAAGTAGTTTATTTAATAGACGAGTTTCATAATTTGAGTTGAATTACTGAAATAAATAAACTTTTCCACGACATTCTAATTGATTGAGATGCACCTGTATATGTGAACCTGGTGTAAAAGGCCGCCTCACATAGAGCTCACAAAATCAGGCTGTGTGTAAGCTATTGTGCAATAAATGCACAATTGTCAGTACAAAATTGCAGTACATGATCAAACATTTAGACGAGATAAATATATATTTTCGAAAAATGTCTAAAAAATTCTCCCACTCCACCCCTCAAATTAAAAAAAATCCCCTCTCACAAAAGTCACCTAAGAGGGGAATTCATTTTCAAAAATGAAATTCAGGCCCTGAATAAATGTCTAAATAGAAACGCAAACCAAACCGAGCCGTGCCGTGCCGAGCTGAGTCGTACCACGCAGTGGAAAAGTGCCATTTGAGGCCCGTGCAGGGCTCTACCAGGAACTATGATGAAACAGCGCTAAATTTATAGTGTTATGTCAAAATATTAATTTATTTAATTTTAAATTAAACAACTGTAATTCTGATAGTATTCCCACTTTTTACAAAATGTAACTAATCTGAATACTGATTACGTAACGCCGTTACAAGTATTCTGTTACTCCCCAACCCTGCCTATGCCTTCCGCAGATGATATAAATAAATATAAAAGACTTTCAACTAGCATAACAAAAAATGTTTTTGAACCAAATCACGACCCTGCCTTTAAAGCAAACTGAACCGAGACCATCTTTCGGTGGTCTAATGTACTGATAAAGTACGTTTTTTTTGTCATTTCAACTGTTCTAATTTGTGTCACTCACAAACACTCAAACAGTTTGATTAAAGTCATCTATGATGCAGTTCATTATAAAAACCCTTTGTTAAATGAAGAACAAATATAGACAAACGTGCATTCATTGTATTTTTGAGTTCAGCTTTGAGAATGAAAATCAACCTGTTTGTTCCTCAGTATCTTCATGTTTGACTCTGAAAGCTTCTTCAATCTTCACGTCTTCACTCTCGCTTCAGCAGGAGTTTTTCTGTGTTTAAGATCAGAATAATTAACAAAGTAAAATAAACCCAATCTAAATCTCTGGGGTGTCTCAATCAGCTCCCTAGTTCAGTAGTCAGCACACTAGTAAGGGAGACAGAGTTAATGTGGTTAATCTTAGTTAATAGCCTTAATGACCTAGTTATAAAAAAAAAAAAATCCAGCAATACAATTTAAGAGAATGGGGGGAAAAAATTACACTCATTTTTTTTGTTTAAATTTGGTATTTAATAACTTGTAAATCATTTTAAAATAGTATACTTTCATGAAAACATTTACAATTGTTTTTTTTTTAAAGCTGTGTTTGTTCTCGTTGCATTTTGAGCTGCAGGAGTCGGAGATTCGAATCACTGAATCATTTTGCGAAGCATTTGATTCAATTGACTCGGAGTTGGGAAAAGCGCTGTTTCTCCATCACTGCTTTACAGTGACTGAATTCGTGTGTATGATGAACTGATTCACGATATATGGAGCGACATGAGACGCATCTTTTCTGTTCATCATCGTACGGACGCGCTTTACTCATGAAAACTACGTTAATTCATGTAATAGATAAAGTATTACAGCACTACAGTCAGTGTAATTACGCCATTTACATCGCTTTTAAAAACTATACCATAACGGTTTGTAGCAAACGCTTTAAAAGCTTAAAAACACCAACCTTTAGATGCAGCAGCGCGGCCTTGTGACGTCACGTCTCGAGACCAAAATAAAAGTCCCGTTCAGTCAAAAAAAATCACAAGAGTGCATAGAAATCGGTTCATGTTGTTTTGCTTTATCCCTTTAACCCATGTGTATTTTTTAGAGCATACGTGAAAATAGAGGAAGGGGGAAAAACACTTAAATTACTGTAATTCCTGAATGTTTCAGAATACAGACTTAAATTTGGTAACATTTTGTGGTAGATTATTCTTGAAGTGAAGGTTTAATTTAACCTCAAAGTCTGCAAAATCCAGGAGGGAGGGCTGGCAAAAAGTAGCAGACAAATTAAAAACAACTAACATGGTCACCACTTGCATTTATCACTTATTTCAGTATATATTTTTGTATTTTAATACTTTCATAAATACTTTTATCATCTTTAATGTCAGAGCCACCACGCGACCCACTAGAACATGGGAACAAGTAGAAGTGAAATACAAGAATATTCTGCAAAGTGGTAATCTTTACTACTTTATACTTTAATTATGGTAAATCTTGAGTAGTGATGGATTGCTTTGACTTAAAGTGAAAACTGCTAAACTTATTTACAGCTAATGTGTCACCATGAGCTATGGATCTCATTTTTTAGAGTGTAATGGCATTGTGTTTTCCCCTTTTGTGCAGTTTTACTCAATACACCAACACGTTCACCTGTTCCTGAGCAAGTGCTGGCTGAAGCATGTGCAGTAAGTGCACTTTTTCTAACTTTTTTTTCATCAAAAGGGAAGAAATTGCGACACTTTGTCCTGTGCAATGGAAACAAATGGGTATTACAGTGACGAAACCCTCTCAGATGACTGTCTTTTGGAGGAAATACTTAGAACTAATAGGCTCTTGAGTAGATACAAATTAAGTTATTAGTGCACTTATGAGTCCACATCTACAGAAAGGCCTACAGAAGAGTCTGCACAGAGAGGTGATACAGAGGTGTTGTACTTTTCCTTTTTATTTTGGTTGGTTCTTCAACACAAAATATAAGAAATATAAAAATCCCCATTTGGCGGCAGTGGGGGTTTCCGCTTCAGTGCTAAGAAGAACTTTTGGATGACAGACTTAACAAAACAATGCCGTATGTTCCAATTTTAAAGTTTTTGCAACTGCTTTTAAGTAACAGTTACATTCTTGACAGCTTTAGATAATCAGTATTGGAATTAGGACAAGAAGGAAAGGTCTACACGTCTTATCGGGATGGTATGCATTTCAAGCGCAACAATTTTATGTCAGGTAGCGAATTGCGAATATTGCTGAAATGGTATGTGGATGATTTTGAGATCTGCAAGCCGTTTGGCACATCCAGAAAAAAAACACAAGATCTGTGCTGTATATTGGATTCTCGCCAAGTTACCACCAGGTTATAATTCGTCACTGTCTTCCATATATTTGGCTGTACTGTGCAGATCAGACGATGTTCGGACGTATGGATATGAAAAAGTCCTTGCTTCTGTTTTGGAAAGCCAAGGAATTTTTATTGCACCGCGCAGACTGCTAGAGCAGACAATTTGGGAGCACATGGCATTACTGGATTTGTAGAGTTTTTCCAGTGAATACGTGTGCCGGTTTTATACGGCACAAAAGTCTGAAATTCAAGAGAAGGAAATATGTTCGGATGTTTCTACTCTCTGAAGCAAAGAGATCAGCAGAGGATACTGAAAAGCCTCAGGGTATATACAGGAATCATGGAGTTAAATTTAATACCTGTTAAGACTCTTACCATACATTTTAAGACCTCATCGCCACTCCAAGTTTTAACCGGTTACATCGGCAACACTTTAACTTACATTTACTATATATTGATTGTAAGATAGCACAACTAAACAGACTTGCTTTGTGATAACTCCTTATCAATACAACACAATTCAGAAGGGAACGAAGCACAAGAGAATTTATTGAGTGACTAGCTCAAATGCTTCCTACTAGTGTAGCCCAAAACATTTAGCACAGTTGTATTACAGGTAGAATGCAAAATGTTTCAGTACAAGCGTTTCAACCAAATGTAATTTATGCAATATTTCAAACCTTTAACCCACTGGGGAAATCAGCCCATGGCAACAGTTTAAAAGCAGCCCAATTTCGTGGAAAACAACAACAACAACCCTGCATCCAACACGAGCTGCAGAAGTCAGATTTGACTGATCACGGGTCAAAAGTAAGGAGAGATAACTGAGAAGATGTTGGAGGATTTGCTCCTCAACAGACAAATATCTTTTATCGTAAGATGTGCTCCCTTTACACAGTGCGCGCGGTCGCGAAATCGAAAGTGACCTGCGACTGCAAGCGCTCATTCAAAAGGGATTTAAATACCCCAAATATTGATAGCGGCACCCTGATGCACGAAAATTACATACAATATTAGAATGCTTGCGGGAGCGGACACAAAAATCGCGGGAGTGCGGTAATGGTCAGAAGTTCAGCGAGAGCGGGATCAACAAGCCCTGCGCTATCACACAGTCAGTCAGTGAGCGCCGCAACAGATGACGTCTATAAATAAACTACACAGAACCCTACTATTCGGACAAATATACATAATGAAAAGATTATACAAAATTTAATACCTTGGAAAATGGCATTTAAGACTTTTTAAGGGCCTTAATTTTCTCTAAATTGATTTATCAACTTTTAATACTTTTTAAGACCTCGCGGACACCACGGAGTAGCATTGGCCCGCATTGCTTTCAGTGTGGTCACTGGGATGATATTGTTTTAGGTGATGGAATAGGTTGGTTGTGTTGCCAGTCTTGGTTTTCACCGACTGACGACATATTTTACAGATTGTTTTAATCCTTTTCTGTCAACAATTTCATCATCTTTCGATAACAACTCGGTTATTTTCACTTCCGTCGCTGCTTCCACTCATTTTTTGTTGTCCTCGTGTCGAGTTAGCTTTGCAAAGTGCAGCAGGAAATGTATTTTGTACTTTGACATGCACATTAAAAGCTGCATGCTGATTGGCTGTTGTTGCATATTGCTGCTGTGTGATTGGCTCTTAGATTAATCCATATAGAGTAAAAATGTCCAGAGCTTATCATTGTTATCGACATAAATTTTATTGCGATTCGATATGATATAGTTTACTGGCCCAGCCCTAAGCCTAACACAGTACATGTAGCTAAGTTTTTTATTACAAATAAAAAGAAAACTAGCATTCCCTATTCTTTTTCTATTCTATCTACTTCTGTCAGAGGGTCTCTTTTTTTTAAATGAAACTAAAACAAGATAGAATAGAAAACGAATAGAGTGCTAGTGTTAGAGGCTCTCTCTCTTTTAAAGAAAACTAGTAAGAATAGAAATAGAATTGAGTGCAACTGTTAGTGGTTTTTTCTTAGAATTAGACTAGAGAGTGCTAGAGTTAGAGGATGAAATGAAGATTTGTATTATATTCCATTATATTGTATTATATTTCAGTTTAATAGTTGACTCATATTCTATGGGAGGTAGACTGCTCAGTAAGAACTGTATCAGAGAGATCAACAACATTTCTTATGTGTTATGCTTGAGATCAAGTCTCAGAACATGCCAGGAAAGCTAAGGGAAACTTTCAAGCAAGATCAGGTTGTTCACATCTGAAGCAGCTAATCAAGGTCTTACTAGACATGCTAGAAACTTCCAGGCAGGTGTGTTGAGGCAAGTTGTTGGAGCTAAACTCTGCAGGACACCGGCCCTCCAGGACAAGAGTTTGGACACCCTTGGCTTAGCATCTACGCTTTCAAAGGTGATAAAATACACAACGTGTTTTGAATGAAAATGAGGCACTAACCTTACATACTTGCTAACATCTAAGTCAGACTTCACTGTTTCTCCAACACTAGCTAAAGGTGGTCTTGACTTAGTAAGAATTGGCATTCTACAGAGGGGTTGTGCTTCGAGGCCATCTCATGTTCTTGCTTCTTTAATGCCAAGTCAAGCAATCATAAGTATTTTTACAACAATAATTAAACTCTTCTAATGCAGGACATAATGTAAACATTACTAAATCCAAGTCCATATCTCACCAATATGGTTTCCAAGCAAGCAAACACACTTGCTTCTGAATAACAAACGTTTGGTAAGCTCACCCCTAGTTATCAATACAATTTAGGATAAGTTTCCAATTGTTTTAATAGATGGGCCCCCAATTGTTATGTACTATCCCCAGTGTAGGGTTGGGGAGGAAAAAACAATCATGAGAAAAGTAAAAAAAAAAAGGCAAGAGGATTACACAAAGGTTTGAAACAAAAGTGTGGTATGTATTTACAATTCTCAACATAAAAGAATGGGAAAAAGAGAGACAGAGACCTACTCACACACCGTATACGCACAACAACATGTATGGCAATGAAAATATGAAACAACAACAAATTATATTATGCCATGTGATGTAAAAATATGTTAATTTTCCTTCGTTTATCTTTTTTCTCCTGGCCATTGACATTTTTTTTTCTTGTTTCATGGCTTATGCTGGTCTCAAACCTGGGTTGCAACAACTAGTGAAAACATGTTTTTAAATTAAAAAAACAACAACAATGAGTATCTTAAATAGTCTTCCTCCAAGAATGAATTCACAACTGATTACTGAAATTGCTCTCATGTAAACCTTTTGCCACACTGAGTAGCGCTCCACATTTCAGGTCTCTTTGATATATGAAACTCTTCACACTGAAGACATGTGAAATCAGTGTGAAGTCTTATGTGAATGTTAACATTTCCTTTAAGGGTATAACTCTTCACACACTGAGGACAAGTGAAAAGTTTCTCTCCAGTGTGAACTCTATTGTGAACCACAAAGTTTGCTTTGTTTCTGCAAGTCTTTCCACAATACTATATGACATGTAAGACTTCTCTCCGATGCGAGTTATTACATGATTCCTAAGCGGTCTCCTGTCTGTGAAACTCCTTCCACTCCGATGTCATTCTCTCCAGTGAATCCTCTAGTGGTACTTAAGGATTATGTTTATCTCAAACTCTTTCCACAATGATCACATATAAATGGCTTCTCTCTGCTCTGAATTCTCATGAGCCAGATACATACTCATTTTCAGTGTAATCTGCCGAAACTTCCACACTGTTGGCAGGAAAAAAGGTCTCTCCAGTATGACTTCTCATCTGAACTTTAAGGTTTCTATGTTGATTGAAACTCTTTCTCTCCGGTGTGAATTCTCGTGTGCCTGTTAAGGATCTCTTTTTGAGTGAAGCCCTTTCCACACTGTTGGCAGGTGAACGGATTTTCTCCAGTGTGAATTCTCATGTGATAATTAAGGTTTCCTTTCCGGTTGAAACTTTTCCCACACTGTTTACATTTGAAAGGGCTCTCTCCAGTGTGAATTCTCATGTGGACTTTAAGGTTTCCATGCTGAATGAAACTCCTTCCACACTGAGGACATATGTAAGGTTTCTCTCCAGTGTGAATCCTCATGTGCCTGTTAAGGCTTCCTTTCTGAGTGAAACTTACTCCACACTGCTGGCAGGTGAAAGGGCTTTCTCCAGAGTGTACTCTCATGTGGTAATCAAGGTTTCCTTTTCGGTTGAAACTTTTCCCGCACTGATGACAGGTAAAAGTGCTTTCTCCTGTGTGAATTTTCATGTGGACTTTCAGGTTTCCATGTTGATAAAAACTCTGTCCACACTGAGGGCATGAGTAAGGCTTCTCTCCAGTGGGAATTCTAATGTGCCTGTTAAGGATTCCTTTTTGAGGCATGTGTAAGGCTTCTCTCCTTTGTGAATTCTCATGTGGACCTTGAGGTTTCCTTGTTGATAAAAACTCTTTCCACACTGTTGGCATGTGTAAGGCTTCTCTCCAGTGTGAATTCTCATGTGGGCTTTAAGGTTTCCATGTTGACTGAAACCCTTTCCGCACTGAAAGCAGGTTAAACAACTTCTAGTTCCTATCTCTTTTTCAGCTCTTTTTCGTAAGGAAGTCTTTTTCGTCTGTGAGCAATTCAGAGATTTCTCTTCAGTTATGAAACCATGATGGTTCTCATACTGATCTTTCTCTTCCATTTCATTCAGTACTTCATTCTCCTCTTTAATTGCTGTCAGGTCTAAAGCAAAAAAAAAGAAAGAAAAGAAACAATTAAAAGACAAAAACATTTAAACATGTAAAACATCAAAACCAACAACATGTGTTGTACATCCTTATACACACTTAGCTACTGAAAGAAGTGTTGCATGTAATCTCAAAACATCTTTTAAATATTGTTTCAACATTTATTTAACTGATCAGTATTGGCTAGCCCAATCCTTTATTTTATGCCAGATGTCATGCAAGTGTCATGCAGTAGGTGGCAGTATGCACCTAGGTTTGTCAATGACCATTAAAAAGAAAAGACGACACTCAAGAACTAGTGAGGTCCATTCTAGAATGTTCAAGAACTAGTGAGGTCTATTTTAGAATGTTCAAGCTTCTGTGTTTTTAATGAGATTTTCATGAGATTTGGGTTATTTTTATAATAAAAGATATTTATACGAGAAATGCTAAGTAGATGCAGTGATTAACTACTTATAATAGGCTATAAATAGCATATTTCAACAACATTATATGATCAAAACCCACATTAGATCACAATCAGAAGTATTGACAAACACTCAATGGTGGTTTAAAGTTAGTTTTGAGTAAAAGTGTAGTATAACTATTATAAATTGTCTCATGTATCTAGGGCTGGGCGGTATGACCGTATATATTGTTACTATGGATTAAAACCGTTAAAGATTTTGCTATATTGTTTATTTTGCATTATGCAAATATATATATTTATATAGCACAGTACAGTATAGCTTTAAAAGTTATATACACCTAAGTGAAAGAAACATGAATGAATGAGAAAAAGAGCATGACGTGCTTAGGGCTTGCGATCTAATGTGTGTTTTGGCCATATAATGTTGCTGAAATATGCTATTTGTAGCCTTTTCTATTAGCTAATCGCTACACCTGCTTAGCATTTCTCATGTAAACAACCCTGCATTATTATGAAAATAGGCAGAATCTCATGAAAATCACAAACAAATCATATAATGTTGTTTTCTTGGGTTTCTTATAGGGCTGGGTAAAAAATACTGATTTCTCTATTTTAATCGATTCTCATTTTCATGAAACAGTCGAGCCTGTCAGATAATGAACGGAACATTGTAGCGCACCTCCCATCCAATCAATTGCAATAAGCTTTGTGATTTGTTACTTTTGATGAAACAGTCTCAGATTTTAAATTCTGCCCATTTTATTACAATATTAAAATATTAAATGCCGTTTTGGCGCTGTTTACTGTGGAGTGACAGATCGCTGTAGCGCCTCGGTTAGAAGTGGCAGCGCGAACTGATCATCTCCTCCACTTTAGTAGAAGTTACAGCATGAAATAAACATGAATGAACATCCGAAGGTACGTTAAAAGAAAGAGCACAACTTACCAAAATCCATATCCTGTCTCATGTAATCGCTCAGTTTTTCAAACGCGGAAAGACGACAATAGCTTGTAAACAATGTCATGTAACGTTACATTTACCTCAGAAATAAACGTATTCGGTGTCCTTGAACTCCAGGGTTTCCCATACATTGATTTATTTGTGGCGGACCACCGCAATATCCATATTGGAGTGTTTCCCATGCACTGATTTATTTGTGGCGGACCACCACAATATCAACACTGACCGCCACAAATAGATTTTCCAAAAGGCTTTGACTTCATTAAATAAACATGAGCTCTGCACGTTTCAAAATCAAAATGCGGCACGGGTGTTTTTATATAAATGTATCTTTTTTGAAGGGAACCAATTGTCTTCAGAAAAGTTTTGATGTCATTTTCATGTAATCTTTCCTATAATGCCTGATAAAGTAGCGTTCATGAGTGCAGCACTGTTTTGATTACAGCCGTTACCGGGGAAACCGCTTCTCTGCCGCTCCTAAAGCGCCTCCTGCTGGCAGAGAATGAATTTGCACTTTCAATAAGCCCGTCTGCTGTTTTATATTTACATTATATACATATTTCCCCCAGGGGAAGTGCCGCCACACATAGAGTGTAAGTCTGTGGGAAACACTGAACTCATTAGGCAGCTAGAAAAATGAACTCTAGAGAGGAGCATTTTGCTAAATTTAAATTTAATTTAAAGTTAGTTTCATAACTTTAATATTACAAAAACTTCAGTATATTTTAAGTGTTTGTATACAAAACAACAAATTTCAACCTTCCATATTATTGACTCTCAGGTATATTTTTCAGCATTAGTTGATTTTTTTTTCCTTGAGAAAATTTGCCATGTCCTGTACCTGATATATATCCAAAATAATCAATATTGAATCGAAAAGAAAGCTTGTGAAGGATAATCGAATCGAATTGTGAAATTTGTGTCAAAACCCAGCCCTAGTTTCTTATTTACAGAACTGAACACGGAAGTGTAATGGACTTTCATCGTTGGAGACGGGGCGGGTTATGAACGAGTAATATGATTGACAGATGAGCAGCGAATGAGCTTCCTCTGAGTCAGAACAGCGATCGCAGAAGAGAAAACACAGGCAGAGCTGCTAATGCTCATCAGTATATCACTGGAAAATGAATGAAAATTATGATTCTGTCTGAGCTATGCATTTTAGGATGAAAACGCACTAGTGTAAACATAGCCTAAAAGATGTGGAAACTGAAAACTATTTGAACTTTATTAAAACTATTTGCACAGATTTATTGTGTTGGTTACATTTTGTTCCTTTGTGCTTTCTTTTGTTCCTTTGTGCAGTGGCTCAGGAGATGAGTCCGAGTATGTAAAAGTGTCAACAAACTGAAAAAATAAAACAAAATTTTTTTGAGGTAATGTAATCTTGTTAAAATGGATTTCATAAAATTGGCATCGGAAAAAGTGCTGCTCAGGAACCAGTATTGAAATCAAGGTATCGATAACGAAAATTTTTGAACGATACCCAGCCCTAGACGTGTTAGATGTGCCAACCAATTGGAGGCGGCAGAATAAAAGTTTTTTTAAAAAGGTTGATTCGGCCAAGTTCCACCATTAAAAATGGACCAGGTGGGCTAGTAATAAATTGTGGCAAACCAGACAGGCATAGCCAATTAAAAACCAGAACTAGCAATTTTGGTCAAAGAAAAAGGTATAAAATGGACGCGCGGACAGACAGAGGATTACATGCGGTTACCGTTATCTCGGCTTTGTTACTTTGTTTAATAAAAGTCTTATTTTGACATCTGGAACTCTGCTTCTCGAGCTTCATTGACTACATTGAAGAAATTCATTATTGGCTCCGCAACACGACACGCACAGTAAACACCTCTCACAGACAGCATGCGATCGCGAATTCGGGACGTGCATGATGTTTAACAAAGTTATTAAAGGAGACATATTATGCCCCTTTTTACAATATGTAATATAAGTCTCTGGTGTCCCCAGAACATGTATGGGAAGTTTCAGCTCAAAATACCCCACATATCATTTATTATATCATTTTGAAAATGCCCATTTTGAGTAGAAGCAGAAACACGCTGTTTTTCAGGCCTGTGTCTTTAAATGCAAATGAGCTGCTGCTCCCCGCCCCCTTTTCCAGAATAGAGCTGCGCCATTACAGCTCGTACCTGCTAAAAAGATCTGTTTTGGTTCTGATTATCATGTTTATCGTGCTGAAATCATGCGTTTTAACCCATATGAGTTTAAACTTCTGATATAAGGTTTTCTGAGAGCACACATCCGAAGCACACGCACAGAAAGCGGCTGTCACAGCATGTGAGTACTAAACTAAGTTCTCATTCACACACAAGTTTACGTTAAAAACACATGAGTTACAAAAACAGTCGGTTATGTCTGTGAAGGTAAACAGCTGGGAAATAAATAGCTTGTTAGGGGTTCAAGCACGTAGTGCTGAAACCCTATTGTAATTGTTAGAATTTTTTTTATTATTTTGCTCTGCTAAAACTGATCATGCAGACCAAACCGTAAGGCGTAGAGAGATGAAACTTGGCCAGAAGGTAGAGCTCCCTGAGGGGACATTCTGACAAAGACTCACCCCAATCGGACAAAGGGGGGCGCTACAGCGCAAAAAACTAACATTTTTGGCCCTAACTCGTACACCTTTTGTTGTAGACTCAAAAATTTTACATCATTGCAATCCTTGGGTCCACACGGAGTTAGACGGATTTTCTCTACAACGCACGTTTTTTCCGTAAAATTGACCTATATCCCAAACCTACTTTTGCGAACTAGTCCGAGGTTTTTCACCCGATCGGAACCAAACCACTGCAGAAATATTCCCTGGACACTGAATATCAATAATTATCAAAAAAAAGTTAATTCTGAAATTTCGATTTTTGCACGAAAAACAGTACACCAAGAAGCCTCTATGTTAACGTTAGCCAAATGTTAATTGAAGTATAACTCTTGAACGGAATGAGATATCTTCACCAAACTCGGTCCACATATGTATGAGCTCAATCTTTGGTAAAATACAAAAAATTGTGCCGCTCTGCCATTTGGGGGCGCTATAAGACAGAAAAAAACATAAATTCAGCTATAACTAGGCAACCGTTGGTCTGATCGACTTGAAAATTGGTATGCAGCGTCTTGGTCCAAAGTGGCACAAGTGTCTATGAGGACATTTGCATATCTCAAAAAACATGGCCGCCATTGGCCAAACAAGTTTAAGCACCTATTAAACAAGGTTAATGGAGGTCAATCGGAACAAATTTTGAAAGAAATTGGCCACTAGTTGGCGCTAACGAGATTTTTTGGCTCTGTAATCACGTGTTGTTTCACATATTCACACAATATGCATATAATTTGATAGATTTCCTCAATGCACAACTTTGCCTCAAGAACCATTGCTGTCAATCAAATCGTTCATAGGTGGCGCTATAACAGTCATAACTGGGCGATTCCACAGTTTAGGCCTAATTGCAAGGACAATAGCCTGCAAAATCAATCTTCATGGAGAAAGCCATTGTCCTCAGGTTAACATCCTGAGAAAACCTGGGGTACAGCTATGTGAAAGGCAGAATAAATCTGGCAATGGTAAACTAGTAAACTTTGATCAAAGTTGAGTTGATGTAAAATTTTACATATGTAACATGGACGGAAAAACAGTGTACCTGCCATAATTTCTGAAAAAAGTAAATAAAATAAAGAAAGGCCACATATATATGTAAGGAT